CGGGAAACTGACCGGGAAAACCAAACTGTCCCGGGAATCCACCGCCAAAACCTGGGAAACCTCCGAAACCGAAACCACCGCCGCATCGCTCGTCCGGCACTTCAGTGGGTTTGGCGTTCATTACGGCTATAAATGTAAAGCATTTTAATTGTCAATATTTAATGTCACGAATAATAATTTGTTTGAAGTATACATACCGACGGCACCGAACAATAGTATGGCTACAATTTTCAGCATTTTTTAATAATATTATTTAGTTATAATTGAATTAGATTCAGTAATTTTCTTAAGTGATACAATATTTGATTTTTGTGCGATATTTATATAAATTTAATATCCTTGTTCAATTAATGGTACATTGCCATGAATGCCATAAATTAGAGAAAAATTAATTTTAATATGACGTGGTTATTATACTTTAGGCCGATTCGGCCTAAATATGGCCTTCATGTACATTGCATTTTACAGCAGAGCTTTACATTTTGTAGCAGAGACGTCATCCACGTGTATATTTCGAGATTTAAATCCTTGTCTGGCATGAATTTATTTAATTAATTATTTTACTATCACAATTAACACATTAATTATAATAATGTTCATATATTGTACAGTAGACTAAATTGTATGAAGCTTGTTAGACTCGAACGATGTAAAATAAAATTAATGCATTCAATGACTTTTAGTTTTAATAGTTATTATCTTGATTAATTTTGACTATATCAGTAAATTACCCAAAAGTTATTTTTATATCCTGATACTATTCAACCTTTATAGATAAAATTGTAAAACCGATATTTATAATTAAATAATATAATTATGGGTACTTTAAACAAATAAAATGTTATTTTAATAATTATTTTAAAATAATTTTATTTGTTACAATCAATTTTAACTTTTGCTTTTAATTTTTAAAACATTTAAAACTGTAATAGTATATTATTAACAATCTTGCTATTAATATACATTTGTGAGTTAAATGGTTTTGGCGATTGTACAGTATTCAAGGTTTTATTTAAATTTTGCTTTGTAATTTAAATAATTGAAGTATTTTCTACAGTAAAATAATATAATGACAGTTAGATTATACATAAATTTTATTTAATTATATTAGATAAAAGGTAACATAGTTATTAAATTCATTTGGTCAAATTAATTAAAATATATTAATTTTTTAATTATTAATTTTATACAATCGAGTTTAAAAATACTAATAAACTAAGTGATAATTTTAGCTGAAATACAGAATTTAAATAAAGTTTAATTATTTTACTTTAGTTGCTTAAATTTTTATTTACTAGTATAATAAATTATCAAATAAATAAATTATTATCAATAATTATTAAACATTTAAACAATTTAATTTTAAAATCGGATTGTTGGTTAATTAACCCTGGACAGGTTGAACAGCGGGGACGGCTGGTTGAGCAGCAATTGGTTGCTGAGCAATAGGCTGTTGAGCGATGGGCTGTTGAGCTGCCGGTTGTTGGGCAGCGGGAACCTGTCCGGGCAATTGTTGTGCCGGGAGCTGACCCGGGAACTGTTGAACCGGGAATTGACCGGGAAATTGTTGGATGGGAAATTGTCCTGGGAATTGCCCGGGGAATTGTCCGGCAAACTGTCCGGGAAACTGACCGGGAAAACCAAATTGTCCCGGGAATCCACCGCCAAAACCGGGAAACCCTCCAAAACCAAAACCACTGCCGCATCGCTCGTCCGGCACTTCAGTGGGTTTGGCGTTCATTACGGCTAAAATAGGATTTTAATTAATAATAATATTTCGTAATTTTTTAAATAAATAAAATATTTTGTTATAATACATACCGACGGCGCCGATCAATAGGATGGCAACAATTTTCATCATTTTGCTATTTTAGTTTAAGTTTTAATTATTGTAATGAATTAAATTCAGGTAAAATTGAATTGATAAAAATTGTTTCATGTGATGATGTTTATATACCCTACCAAACAGAATTTACCATATGTTTTACACGTGGATAAAAATGTTATTATGGTCCTGATATGATTTTCTACAATAAATAATTAATTGTTTACTGAAAATTTTCTACCATCATTTAATTATTAATTATGTTGATAAAAATGTTTTTGTTTGTAAAATGTACCTCATGCAACATAATATACCTTTCTGTTATTAATGCATATTGTTTAAATTAACTAAAGGAACATCTTTGTAATTTCAAAATAATTACTCCATATGACGTGTGTTTTGATTAATTATAAAATGTACAATAACTTTTTTCCAATAAGTTTAGATATCCACCATAATTAATTTCTATAAAATCAGTATTAAGTGCAAGTATACCAAGTTACATACATTGAGTATAATGTATCAATATGAATTTTTACAATAGCAATTAATCAATATTTGTGTTTTATAGTGTCTGGGATTATATAGTAATTTATATTTTTATAATAAACAATGCATAGTTAAACTATGGTAACATGTTGAACAATAGAAACGTAAAATACAAGTGTTTTATATGTGCGTAATTATGGAATGACCGGTTATAGTAATTTTTAATAAATTAATTTCAGTTTAATTTTAATTAATGTATAAACTTAAAATAAATGTCACATTTTCATATATAGATTTTAAAAAATGTGTAAATTGAAGGCAATTTATTAACTTATTATAATGCAAATATTTATATGCTTATAAATTAAAAATGACATAACTAGCACTATTACAACAATCAAATTTTAAAACATTTAAAACTGTAATGATATATTATTACATAGCTTGCTATACAGATACTTTTGTGAATTAAAAAGTTTTGGTAATGACAGAAACATTCGTTCATTTAAATTTTACTTGGTTATTTAAATAATTAAAGTATTTTCTAAAATAATATACAGATATTCAGACAGGTAAATTAATTTAATTTGTTCAAAATAAATATAGCGTATAAAAATTGCTATTTAATCACTATATTTGATCAGGTGTGTATATTAATATAAAATGAAAGTTATTTTACTTGATTCTGGTACACATAGATGTAATACATAATTAATTATGAACGTCAATTAAACAAGGAACTGATCATGATTTAAATCCTGATGCTTAAACCACACATATTCACCTCAAATCAAGCCTACATTATGTAATAGGATATATTGTAGTATAAATACGCTGATTATGGTAGTAGTCAAGCATCAATACCTCATCTAGTACAAATTAATAATTAGTTTTGGAAAAACTATCACATTAAACAACCAACATGTTTAAAATTGTAGCAGCTATATTTCTAACTCTGGGTAAGTTTAAAACATACGTTGAGCAAAATTATATAATAATAATATAAAATCTAATTAATCTAGCAATTGGTGCCAACTGTGCCACTCTGCCCGACACCGATCAAACTAAACCCGATGAAAGATGTTTTGGCGGTTTTGGCGGCGGATTTCCCGGCGGTTTCGGAGGTTTGGGTGGTTTTGGGGGCGGATTCCCGGGATTTTTCGGCAAACGTGATGTGGAGACTGAGACCCAAGAGGTGGTGGCGGAGCCCGAAGAGCGGTGCGATAAACAAGTGGCCGAACCCGAGGTTGAGATCACCAAAGAGGTCAAACCAGAGGAGAAGTGTTTTGGAGGTTTTGGCGGATTTCCCGGCGGTTTCGGCGGAGGTCTGGGAGGTTTGGGCGGTTTTGGGGGCGGATTCCCAGGATTTTTTGGCAAACGGGACGTCGAGACTGAGGTTAAAGAGGTAGTGGCGGAACCCGAGGTAGAGATCGCCGCAGAAGTGCAGGATTTGGGCGAACCCGTGGCCGTTGAGGCCGAGACCGAGGCTGAGGTCAAACCCGATGCCAAGTGTTTCGGCGGATTTGGTGGCGGTTTCGGTGGATTTCCCGGCGGTTTCGGCGGCGGATTCCCCATTGGTTTTGGCAAATAAATGATATATGTGTTTATGTGTACATTGTTTATGTGTATTCCCAATTAATTATTTATTTTAAAACGTTAAATATAGACATTTTATTCAATAGTTTATCAGAATTTTTTTTAATAGTATATTACTCATAGTCAATTTGAGATGTAATAATAAAATTTATAAACAATAAATTCGGTTATAATTTAAATGTTTTGAATTTTTAGCATTTTTTGCATTTTACATTTTTATAAATTATATTTTATCAAGATCATATGGGAAGAGTGTTGCTAAATTAACAATATAATTGATCAGTTTTATAACAACAAAGTGTGTAAATTGACGACAATTTGTTAACACAGTTAATTATTAAACATTATATTATATACTTTTATATTTATATATATAAATTTATATACAATCATTTTTTATTGATTCAAAATGACATTACTAGCATAATCAAAATAATAAAATTAATAAACATGTAAAACTGTAATAGTATATTATTAATAAACTTGCTACATTTAAACAATTATAGATAAAATATTTGTGGCAATAACAACAAAGTGTTCCTTCACTTAAACTTTTACTTTGTTTAGTTCAATAATTAAAGTATTTTCATTAATATTTTAAGTTAATTTTACTTTTAATATAAAAATAGCTATTTATTGAATTGTTATAATAAATGATGGTTTTAAATTAATATACAATGAATGTATAAATTAAATGTTTAAATTAATGTATAATGAAAAATTATTTTACTTGATTTTGGTGCTTGTATATGCAATTTATAATATTTTCTTACATTATATTGGCCCCATGTTAACTATTAACGGGTTCATGTCTATTTATGTTTTGACAAAGGTCATAATTTTAGTTATTTTGATAATAAAATTTTAAATAAGTATATTTTTCATTTAAAGGTTTCTATCTACAATATATTATTAATTGTATTGAAAATATTTTTGTTTTGCAAAATTTACCCAATGTAACATAATTTACCTTTAAGTTGTTAATTCATATTGTTTTAATTAACTAATAAACATTATTTTATTTTTTTAATTATTAGTTAATATGACCTTGTTTTAATTAATTACAAAATGTACAATAACAGTATTATATTGAATAAATTTAGATATCCACCATAATTAATTTGTATAAAATCAGTATTAAGTGCTTGTGTACCAAGTTTGCAAAATCCGAGTATAATTTACCAATCTGGATTTATAAAAATAACCATTACTTTACAATAACCATTAATCACAATTTTTATTTCAAAATATCTGAGATAATACTGTAATTTTAAATTAAACTACTAATTTATATATGTATAATTAATTCCTTGATTAAACTATGGTTCAAATTGAACAACCCAAATGTTTTATTTATGCGTAAACATATAATGACCTATTTTGAATTCTTTAATTTTAATTTTATTTTAATTTAATAACAATACCAAAAATAGATTTGGCATTTTTATAAATCATATTGTATCATGACCATATGGGAAGGGTTACTCAAATTAAAAATAAAAATAACCGGTTCTATGATAATAATTTTTTATGAATTGAAAATGACATAACTAACACTATTACAATAATAAAACTTTTAAAACATTTAAAACTGTAATGGTATATTATTAACTACGATAGCTTGGTATACATATACTTTTGTAAATTAAATAGTTTTGTCAATGGACTACACAGTCTATGTAAATTTTGTTTTGTTATTTCAATAATTAAAGTATTTTCTAAAATAATACAAAGACAGTTAGGTACATTAATTTAATTTTTACAAAATAAATATAGCATATAAAAATTGTTAATTAATCATTATATTTAGTAAGGTGTGTAAATTTATATAAAATAAAAATTATTTTACTTGATTCGGGTACTTGTATATGTAGTTTATAATTAATTATAACCTCATTTAAACAAGGAACTGATCAAAATTTAAATTCTAATGTTTAAACCACGCATATTCGCCTAAAAGTATGCATTTATTATGTAATAGGATATATTGTAGTATAAATACGCTGATTATGGCAATAGTCAAGCATCAATACCACCATCAAGTACAAATTAATAACTATCACATTAAACAACCAACATGTTTAAAATTGTAGCAGCTCTATTTCTAACTCTGGGTAAGTTTATAAACATACTTTTAGCAAAATTATATAGTTAATAAATCAACTTAAATTAATCTAGCTATCGGTGCCAACTGTGCCACTCTGCCCGACACCGATCAAACTAAACCCGACGAAAGATGTTTTGGTGGTTTTGGCGGTGGATTTCCCGGTGGTTTCGGAGGTTTGGGTGGTTTTGGTGGCGGATTCCCGG